GTCTCTTTTCAGTATCGGCCTCTTGAAGTATACACATTTGCGAGATACATTTATAACGAACTTAAATATTAGTGCTCCCTTTACAGTTTAAGTGAAGGAAGATCAGCTTCTTACAATATATGTAGCTTCTTACACAATAGGGCCTGTAAGTCTCGCGAGGCGCTTCTCCCTGTTCCCGGCTCCCTTTGAGCGCGCCACTTTGCGATATGCTAGACAGCTTACTTCCGGTACCAGATTTCCTGTGACAAGCGGTTCTGGTTCCAAATTGCGCGACCGCCAAACATGACTTTACTAGACCGGACCAAGTGTACGTTGTTTGTCGCCGGAAGTGCTACGGGCCTTCTTACGGGCCCTCTATCTTAAAAGTCACCCAAAACGGAGTGAGTGACTGAAAATTACTTGCTGGAATCAACGTTCGAAACAAGGCTGATGTATCTCCATTCTGTAATGACACAAAAACAGAACAAATACAAAGGCTTTGGCTACAGCGGACATATGGCATTGGCTGAGGCTGATATTGTCAGTAGGTTCAAAGGTCCAACTTCGGAATCAGTAAAACTTGAAATTGGCATGTATGTTCGTGTTTTAACCCAAACAATAATTTTCATCACAATGCAAACATAACGCAGGAACATATACAATACACACATAAACTGTCCTCAGAAAAACTGACGTTTCCTAGCTCACAAAAGTGTCTCGTGACTCAGGACACGTGAAGATCCGGGTTAGAATTGATCTTCAGTAACCCATACTTGTCGTAAGAGGCGACTAACGGGATCGGGTGGTCAGGCTCGCTGACTTGGTTGACACGTTATCGCATCCCAGTTACATAGATCGATGCTCATGCTGTTGATCACTGGATTGTCTGGTCCAGACTCGATTATTTACAGACCGCTGCCATATAGCTGGAATATTGCTGGGTGCGGCGTTAAGCAACAAATCGACCAACCAAAACTCAAGTGATATAATCCATTTAATAAAAACTTGATGCATTGTTGATGACAAGCTGAGGCCTCGTGTCACTCTTGTCTTCTGCAATATACCTCCTTGTCATAACTTTTTGTTTATATTCACTGGTCGTCGGATAACTCATGTTGAAGAATTCAAGCTTATTCCCTGAGAAATCACACTACCTTGTTAATATACGTGGTCACTGAGTCATGCGTGTAAACAGGACGTTCTGAATTGAAAGGAGTGTCACGTGACGTAGCCAGTATATATGACACGCTATCATACTAATCTTTATTTAAATACAGTTCTTAATAGAAAAACAAATGTTGTTCATGTACACGCGTATGGTATTTTCCGATCAGTTCTCGGAATAAGAGAAATAGTATATACGGGCATGTATAAACTTTGCTTTGTAAGGATAGGCATGTATAGACTTTGCTTTGTAAGGATAGGCATGTATAGACTTTGCTTTGTAAGGATAGGCATGTATAGACTTTGCTTTGTAAGGATAGGCATGTATAGACTTTGCTTTGTAAGGATAGGCATGTATAGACTTTGCTTTGTAAGGATAGGCATGTATAGACTTTGATTTGTATAGGCATGTACAGACTTTGCTTTGTAAGGATAGGCATGTATAGACTTTGCTTTGTAAGGATAGGCATGTATAGACTTTGCTTTGTAAGGATAGGCATGTATAGACTTTGCTTTGTAAGGATAGGCATGTATAGACTTTGCTTTGTAAGGATAGGCATGTATAGACTTTGCTTTGTAAGGATAGGCATGTATAAACTTTGCTTTGTAAGGATAGGCATGTATAGACTTTGATTTGTAAGGATAGGCATGTATTGACTTTGATTTGTAAGGATGGGTGAGTGAGCATGGTTTTACTATGGTTTTGCTTTTTGCAATATTCCAGGATTATCACGGCGGAGGAAACCAGAAATGTAGTTGGGAACAAATACATCAAACACCACTGTGTTGAAGTTGTAGGCACCTTCCAAAATACTTCGAGTTATCCCGTGTTCGACAAATGATTACATTTACGTTAATTGGTGTTTTTATTACGTTTGTAATTATTTGCTGAAATACATTTTAAATTGCGTACTATTGCTTACTTTTGCTTGGAAATTCGTATGGTCAGTCTACCCGGTGCAGTTGTTTGTAGTGGTATGTCTGATACACATGATACATATGGTACATTGTCTGTCTGATGCCGTCTTTAGAAGTGACTTTTGACTATGGCACAACTGATTTATGTGGGAGATTATCTGACATAGTCTGATATATTTAGTACTGTTGTGGTCTATTTGGGGCGGCCTGTTCTTGTGGTACATCTGGTAGGGTTGATACATCATAGCAGATATGTGTGGTACATCTGGTAGGGTTGATACATCATAGCAGATCTATGTGGTACATCTGGAAGTGTTGATACATCATAGCAGATCTATGTGGTACATCTGGTAGGGTTGATACATCATAGCAGATCTGTGTGGTACATCTGGTAGGGTTGATACATCATAGCAGATCTGTGTGGTACATCTGGAAGTGTTGATACATCATAGCAGATCTATGTGGTACATCTGGTAGGGTTGATACATCATAGCAGATATGTGTGGTACATCTGGTAGGGTTGATACATCATAGCAGATCTGTGTGGTACATCTGGAAGTGTTGATACATCATAGCAGATCTGTGTGGTACATCTGGGAGTGTTGATACATCGTAGCAGATCTGTGTGGTACATCTGGTAGTGTTGATACATCATAGCAGATCTGTGTGGTACATCTGGAAGTGTTGATGCATCATAGCAGATCTATGTGGTACATCTGGTAGTGTTGATACATCATAGCAGATCTGTGTGGTACATCTGGAAGTTTTGATACATCATAGCAGATCTGACTGACTGACTGACTACATTTTATGGCGGGGACACCAGTGGGCTTGATACATCATAGCAGATCTGGGGAATCGAACCCGGGCCTGGCGTACATCCAACGGAAGTACCCCACCGCCCCCATAGCAGATCTGTGTGGTACATATGGGAGTGTTGATACATCATAGCAGATCTGTGTGGTACATCTGGAAGTGTTGATACATCATAACAGATCTGTGTGGTACATCTGGTAGTGTTGATACATCATAGCCGATCTGTGTGGTACATCTGGTAGTGTTGATACATCATAGCAGATCAATGTGGTACATCTGGAGATGTAATAACTCCATGTCATATCGTGTCATTAGAAATCTGTGATTTAGTGAAAAGTATTTAGTTCACGGAATCCTGACGTGACATGAATTTAGAAGTGTTAGGATATATCACTTCTTGTACAATTAATTGACATACGTTTCAGTACGGTTTAAGAGTGATTGGAAGAATTAGAATATCAACAGTTCAGTTGTATGTAAATATTGAAATATTAAAGAAAGGATTTCTCGTCAGGGGCAATGTCTTATCATGCTGTGAGTGAGTGAGTGAGTGAGTTTTAACGATTATTAAGCAGTTACAACATTTTACAATGATCAGGACGCATTTGGGAATCAAACAATAACAGAATTTTGGCACTTCAAAAATCCAAACAAAGCACAGAGGATTACAGCATCTTAAACTATCACTGGCAGTCCTAAGGTCATGTTAGAATATTGATCTTCAGTAACCCATGCTTGTCGTAAGAGGCGACTAACGGGATCGGATGGGCAGGCTCGGTGACTTGGCTGACACGTCATCGGTTTCCAATTGCGCAGATCGATGCTCATGCTGTTGATCACTGGATTGTCAGGTCCAGACTCGATTATTTACAGACCGCCGCCATATAGCTGTTATATTGCTGAGTGAGGCGTAAAACTTAATTCACTCACCCATCCTTACAATCAGACGACCGCCCTGCATCCTTTATGGTACGTGTTGGCAATTGCCCTGCCCTTTCCGTTTAGAACATCCTTGTTGATGACACATTAGTGCAACGTAAAACTAAACTCACTCACTCACTCTAACCTCCCTGCCCTACTACACACAAGCTTATCTACCCCTCCACCACCACGTTGCTTTATTCAAAATTATTACAAATCCTTACGACACCTGTCACAAACCAATGCATTTTCCTTTTTAAAGTTCGCCTCCGGGCTTAACTATATATCCTGTTCGTGAACTGGCGACAACTTGCAAATTCTCCGAAACCTTGTCTCGCGGCGCTGAAATTGTATCCTCGTTGCATATGTATCTAAGCCAAGGAACAAACTGTATAAGAAAGACACATCCTGAACAAGATGGATGACACATTACTTACTGAGGTATTGCAGTATACTTTCCAGTATATTCGATTCCATTACACTGAAGCATTTGTACAAAATAATAATAAAATATATCATCATTTCCCCCTACACACACATTCGCTCTCTCTCTCTCTCTCTCTCTCTCTCTCTCTCTCTCTCTCTCTCTCTCACACAACACACACAAACAAACACACACAACACACACACACACACATACACACACACAGACACACAGACACACACACACATTTACTTGAGCTGCACGTGTCTGAACATAGTCGTATACTGAGTCACTGACCTGTTTTTACTTCTATTTTTTTATTTACAAATTTAGGCTGTTCGCAGAGTTTCGGATAAATGTCTCCATTTTAAGTGAATCTTTTCTTCTCCGAGCGATTAGAACGGGAAATGAACTGTAAACACATAACACTTCAACGTCAAAACAAAATCTCGAGGACCCTCGTAAGATTCGATTGGGCATGGAAAGGAAAATGGCGGTGGAAAAATATGAACTGAAACTGAAAACCACTTATGATACCCGAAATTCACGAAAAATGAAGCACATCCTGTTCTACAGGACCCTACAGTCAATCAATTTCAATAAAAAAGTTATCTTTGGCCACATCCAGTATCATAATTACTATCATATGTCAATAACGTAAATATAGTATTAGAGTCCGCAGTTCCTCCTTGCCAGATACCTGAGGCAACCATGCAATGATGATGCGTAATACACACATTCTTTGATGTATGCATGGTAAGTGATTCAGCATTGTAAACAGGATGCAGACAACGGAAGGTCATAGTTCACATGACATAGCCTAAATATAAGTAATAGGGCATTGTCCTAACAGGAGCCCTCAAGCATCGTGCTGTATTCTTCCATATCTAAAAGACAGGTAAGACGTATTTACATTTTCTGTGAATATGGTTAATGAAATCCGATTACTCAGTAACTTGTATGGAGGACAAATGTTGTGTTATTGTGAAGTAAAATAGTGAGAAAGCATTGTTTTACACCACAGGCAGTAATATTACAGATAATATGCAATTATCTCTTTTTCCTTTTTTTGCTTATCGCCGCAATAGTCTTGGCATATAATGTGATACGACATGGGTTTTAACGTTGAAAATTATATATGTTGGGTAATTAGACCAATTAAATTGCTCAAAAACATGACATGGTGACTTAAGTAAAGTTACGCCGTTGTAAATATAAATATTCATGCAAATCGGTAAATTTTTACTCTCTTCGCTGGCCTCACAAAAAATAACCAAATTATTACTCATCAATTGGTAATTAATATACAGATTCATTTAAATTTGTGCCTATCTATCGAAGGATAACAGCCACAACCATAGGCGGATCTAGAGGGGGTGGGGCTGGGGGGTCGGGGGTGTATTGCAGGTTTCCGGACAATTTATCAAATGACCATTGAAACTTACGTGAAAACGATGGTGCACCCACCTTTCTCAAAAAGCTGCATCGGCCCCTGACTATGAAATCCTGGAAGGGACATTGTCGCTATGTCGCATTGTCGCGTTGTCGCCCTCTCAAATACAAGCAAAATTGTCGTGCGTCGCCCTATGTAAGATGTGTAAAAACAGCCTAAACAAATTACTAAAACGCGACACGCGAGAATGCGACAACGCGACATTTTGATGAATTTAGTGAATTTTTTAGTGAATTTTTAGGCTTCTTTTTACACATCTTAGATGGGGCGATGCGCGACAACGCGACATATTTTGACCTTGAAAATTGTCGCTATGTCGCGTGTCGCCCTTTGGAGGAATAGACAAATATTATTCAAAACGCGACACGCGACATCGCGACAATGCGACAAATGGGCGAAATGTCGCGTTGTCGCTATGTCGCGTGTTGAATGTCGCGTTTTGGTTTATTTTACCTCACTTTGAGAGGGCGACAATGCGACATAGCGACAATGTCCCTTCTCGGATTCCATACCTGAAAAACTATTTTCCTTCGACAACCGCACAAAGTAGTACAACAATCAATCGTTACATAAAGGTACAGTTTTAATTTTAACATATTGAAAGTGATATCTATCTTTATTTATTGAGACAAATTAAATTGCTCGAAAACATGAAATGGTGACTCCAGTGAAGTTACGACGTTGTAAATTGACAGACTTCCATGCGCATCGGTATATTTACTCGCTTCGGTACGCCTTACAAAAAAACAAACAATTTTTTAGCCGGTTTTGAGTAATTATACAGATATTTTAATGACTGATATTGTATGCCGTGGTATGTATATCTCACTCACTTACTATTTACAAAAAAAAGAAACTATCGGAGAACCTGTGACATTCCAAAATATGTTTGGGTGGGTTTTCCTGGCTTCAAACTACATATCATTTACACACAGAAATTGCGAATGTATGCGCACAGATTTTACATTGCGAGTCCTGGGGTACCAGAAAGGGTGAATATTGAGACCAGTTACAATTGTATACTGCGTGTTGTCCCTCACTGTCATTTCAGGTCAGGGATAAAATATACCGAATAAAAAAAGTAACTTCACACTGGGCGAAATGCATTATACTGAAAATGAGCAGCACAAGGTAGTTCATATGGGCGAATACCATATTGGCCATGTTTAACATATAAAGGATTCGCCCATTTCTATTGTGGTGAACAAAGCCACCCTGCACATGTTCCTAACCACCAACACGTGTGCAGAAACTGATGGTGATTAAAGTGAGTGAGTTTAGTTTTACGCCGCACTCTGCAATATTCCAGCTATATGGCTATGGCGGCGGTCTGTAAATAATCGGGTCTGGACCAGACAATCCAGTGATCAACAGCATGAGCATCGATCTGCGCAACTGGGAACCGATCACATGAGTCAACCAAGTCAGCGAGCCTGACCAACCGATCCCGTTAGTCGCCTCTTACGACAAGTATGGGTTACTGAAGGTTCATTCTAGCCCTGACCTTCACGGGTCGCTGGTGATTAAAAATAGTCACATTAACAATCTTTGGGAGATAAACAATTCTCATGCCACGCCTTTCAAATGTTGAACGAAAACGTGCAATTGGCATGCTCCAGGCTGGGACATGTCTGCATCAGACGGGTAAGACATCTGATCGCCACAGGTCAGGACGACCATCTGTGACGTCACATAGCGAGAACAATCAAATTCGACTACGTCATTTGCGTAATATCGTAAAACAACCGCACGTTACGTACTGTTTAGGGGTCGCATAAGTGCCCAGACCATGCAAAATCGCTTGGGCGCTGCTCATCTTCGTGCAAGATGTCCATATGTTTTTGCCTATTCTGACACAGGTAAATCATAATGAACGTCTTCGCTTGGAACTTCTAGCAAAATGCGGGCATTTGACGTCATGGAGAGGCCCTTTAGATCACCTGACCTCAATCTAATCGAACACGTGTGGGAAGCTCTTGGAAGAAGTCTTCGTGCCTTGAGATGTCAAAGCCCCGAATGTTCAAGAGCTGGGCACCATGTTGGTACGGCAATGGAGCACGATGCCTAATGCTGTGCTCACTGTGTCGACAGCTAGGACCTTCAGTGAGAGGGCGACAGAAAAGTGATGGGACTTACTGTGCCAAAAATGCTGGAGTACGAAGATCCAATTGGTGTACAAGACTTTCTCCTGGAAGTGTGAAACGTCTCAGCAGCAGATATGACCCTAACACCATTTTCACTCTACCACACAGTTCTTTCTTCAAGGTTGGTCAAAAGTGTAAATCTGACACAGCTCAGGGATTGCCAAGCCACTAGCGACAACAGATTTGTGCACATGTGCATTGCACTGGTGGATAAACACACCTTCAGTGACCTTTCCAAGACCTTTAGCCTTGATATTTTCACGTACTTATAATACTGGTCTATGGGAGGTAATCTACCAGTAAAACCCCTTAGAATCCCAAAAGAGCGACGTCATCACCTTGTCAACTAATGGAACAGATTTTGGCTTCTTCTCTGGCAGATCGTGGTGAACTCAAGATTCACCATAATATACATGTCTGTCAACAAAATCATATGTGTCTACTACAAAAGAACGTAAATTCTCACAAGACATGACAAACCTCGTGCATTTCTGATTGTGGATCAGAAGCCTTACAACAAGGAGAGCGCTTAGTCACTTGGGTACCTGCATACATGTGCGGCCTGTCTGTGTATGTGGTACAAAACTACAGACTGTACGTATGGAAAGTATTGTATTACAACCAATCTAGTTAAACTCAGAGCTCAGAACCGGGTAGTTCCTTGGACCCGTGAATACACAGACCCATGTAAATCTGTTGAATACCTTGCATACAGGACATTCTACCATTACATTCCATCTATATCTATTATATTTAGTATATTATATATATATTTGTTATTTTCCTCTCAGGTTCCGATCAAGAACAATGAGTACGCTATCGTGTGTATGTCTACTTGCCTGTGTGGCACTGACTCTGACTTGCCCGCCGTAAGTAAATGGACTGAATATTTGGTACTGTGGATGGGTGGTCTTCTATGATTGAGCAGTAGAGTTGTTTGCCTGAAATGCTACCTGAAACCTGCTGCAGAAAAGAAATTGTTTGTCTACTCTTTCGATGTCTGATTGCTACAATGATCGAAACATTGTTGTATAGATGTGTTGCCCTAGCATCCTAGGTCTGTGCCATTTGGACCAACCAGACAGGCGTAAATATACTAGGGACTTTATTGAATACGATCAATCATTTTCATCCATTACAAAGTGCACACAAACGCAGGTATCTGAGGAACAGACAATTTATTTACATCTTACTTGTGAATCAGTACATTTGTTTCAGAATGTTGATATTATACAAGTAGCAAACAGAAAAGTTTGGTTTTTATTATTTTCTCAAACTTTAAAAATAATTATCTGGGAAATGTTATGTGAAAAACGCTTCAAAGTGGGTTTAAGGTAGTTCACGCAGTGACAGCACAATGGTTAGGTTAGCGAGTTTATTATTTCACCACCCAATACAAAAGTATATAGTACATGATTTATTCGTTATCTTTAAGGTGTATTGACTGTCCTTGTTGTATGTGCGGTCCAAATATCACCGTTACAATGGAGGTGCAGAACAGACTCCAGCCGCCGACTTTCAAGTCCTCTACCGAGGTTGAGATGCACCAGAGAGAGCTCATCTACTTCCTCCAAGCGGCAGTAGCCCAGGACCAGCAATTCCAGTAAGATGGACTGCCACATCTTCCTCCTCAATCCTGTTGGCCCAGTGGCTGACTCCACCTTCTCTGTCACACACAGCATAATGACACATGGTTCTTCTTCTGTCAGAAAACAGCTGTCAGACATCATCGTTCTCTATCATGCAACATCTTCTTTCCTCACATAACAGTTTCTTACAAACTCCTGCTCCTCCAGGCCCAACCTTCTCCATTAGACAACACTATCTCGTAACATATTTTCCCGTCACGCAACACCTACTCCTCCAGACCCAACCTTCTCCATTAGACAACACTTTCATCTATCTCGTAACGCATTTTCCCGTCACGCAACACCTACGCCTTCAGACCCAACCTTCTCCATTAGACAACACTTTCATCTATCTCGTAACGCATTTTCCCGTCACGCAACACCTACGCCTCCAGACCCAACCTTCTCCATTAGACAACACTTTCATTTATCTCGTGACGCATTTTCCCGTCACGCAACACCTACTCCTCCAGACCCAACCTTCTCCATTAGACAACACTTTCATTTATCTCGTAACGCATTTTCCCGTCACGCAACACCTACTCCTCCAGACCCAACCTTCTCCATTAGACAACACTTTCATCTATCTCGTAACGCATTTTCCCGTCACGCAACACCTACTCCTCCAGACCCAACCTTCTCCATTAGACAACACTTTCATCTATCTCGTAACATATTTTCCCGTCACGCAACACCTACTCCTCCAGACCCAACCTTCTCCATTAGACAACACTTTCATCTATCTCGTAACATATTTTCCCGTCACGCAACACCTACGCCTTCAGACCCAACCTTCTCCATTAGACAACACTTTCATCTATCTCGTAACGCATTTTCCCGTCACGCAACACCTACTCCTCCAGACCCAACCTTCTCCATTAGACAACACTTTCATTTATCTCGTGACATATTTTCCCGTCACGCAACACCTACTCCTCCAGACCCAACCTTCTCCATTAGACAACACTTTCATCTATCTCGTAACGCATTTTCCCGTCACGCAACACCTACTCCTCCAGACCCAACCTTCTCCATTAGACAACACTTTCATTTATCTCGTGACGTATTTTCCCGTCACGCAACACCTACTCCTCCAGACCCAACCTTCTCCATTAGACAACACTTTTATTTATCTCGTAACATATTTTCCCGTCACGCAACACCTACTCCTCCAGACCCAACCTTCTCCATTAGACAACACTTTCATCTATCTCGTAACGCATTTTCCCGTCACGCAACACCTACTCCTCCAGACCCAACCTTCTCCATTAGACAACACTTTCATTTATCTCGTGACACATTTTCCCGTCACGCAACACCTACTCCTCCAGACCCAACCTTCTCCATTAGACAACACTTTCATCTATCTCGTAACGCATTTTCCCGTCACGCAACACCTACTCCTCCAGACCCAACCTTCTCCATTAGACAACACTTTCATTTATCTCGTGACGTATTTTCCCGTCACGCAACACCTACTCCTCCAGACCCAACCTTCTCCATTAGACAACACTTTTATTTATCTCGTAACATATTTTCCCGTCACGCAACACCTACTCCTCCAGACCCAACCTTCTCCATTAGACAACACTTTCATCTATCTCGTAACGCATTTTCCCGTCACGCAACACCTACGCCTTCAGACCCAACCTTCTCCATTAGACAACACTTTCATCTATCTCGTAACATATTTTCCCGTCACGCAACACCTACTCCTCCAGACCCAACCTTCTCCATTAGACAACACTTTCATTTATCTCGTAACGCATTTTCCCGTCACGCAACACCTACTCCTCCAGACCCAACCTTCTCCATTAGACAACACTTTTATTTATCTCGTAACATATTTTCCCGTCACGCAACACCTACTCCTCCAGACCCAACCTTCTCCATTAGACAACACTTTCATCTATCTCGTAACGCATTTTCCCGTCACGCAACACCTTCTCCTCCAGACCCAACCTTCTCCATTAGACAACACTTTCATCTATCTCGTAACATATTTTCCCGTCACGCAACACCTACTCCTCCAGATCCCACCTTCTCCACCAGAAACCACCCTATGAAGATATTTATCATGAATATCTTGATTGTCCAATCACCAAACTGTTCTGGACAGATTTTAACAATTTTGTAACTCAAGCCCTTGGTAAAACGTATGAAATATCAAACCATGATACTCATTTTTGTTGCAGTGGTAACCATTTACTCAATCACATGATACTATTAGCAAAGCGCCACATTTTCATAATGAACATAAAAGAACACAAACCTAGCTTCATAATCTATTTATCGATACGAAAAACGATAACATGAAACATTTTTACAGAAAATGGAATGCCCTAGATGCAGTCCTGTAAGTTAGAAATTCTGTCACATTCTCTGTATTACTATATAGCATTTCAATTGTTAATCTATATTCTTAATACGAAATACTTTATACTGCCTGCTTTTTTATTATGCAATATGTAACATTTTACTCAACCCATATATCTTGTTCAACTGTAACCAAGTAAAGTGAATAAAAAATACTTAAAAACAAACAAACACTTTCATCTATCTCGTAACACATTTTCCCGTCACGCAACACCTTCTCCTCCAGACCATACCTTCTCCATCAGACACCACCCTTTCTGCCAGGCTTTGTGGCTCATCCAATTTTTTCGGTCAGAAGTTAACTTCTCTGTCAGGAGTAAACTTTTCTGTCAGCTATTCAGTAACAAACACTCAGTTACTCATTTAACTACCCGTGAAGATCCGGGTTAGAACTGATCTTCAGTAACCCATGCTTGTCGTAAGAGGCGACTAACGGGATCGGGGTGGCCAGGCTCGCTGACTTGGTTGACACATGTCATGGTATCGCAATTGCGAAAGTACATGCTCATACTGTTGATCACTGTATTGTGTGGTTCAGACTCGATTATTTACAGACCGCCGCCATGCAGCTGGAATATTGCTGAGTGCGACATTAAACAACAAACCAACCAACTCACTCAACTTTCCTTTTGTCACTTCTCCTGTCAGAAACTTTCTCTCTCTGACAGATTTCACCTGTTGGGCTACACGTTCTCAGGCAGCACTCTATCACCTCATGTGCTCACCTTTTCATCTTCTGTTTTATTTAAAGTTTTTAGACAAAGTTGACAGGACTAGTTGGTTTTCAGTGGAGTTTGCTAGGCCATTAAATTTATCATCCCTGATCTGGTACATTTTTTGGGGAGTTTCATGTACTTAAAAAACTCTTTCGGAATTATATAATTACTCACATACTATTTGAGTTTCACTGATCTCGTCCATTCAATATTTATAACCAAAACAAAACACGTTTTCCTTTGATTGTTCAGGTTTACAGCTCAGTATTATGCGACACCAAGTGTGACGGGATACTTCATCCTGAGTATGAACAAATTATCTGGTAGCACCACGAACAGGACTTACTGGCAGATCCTGGACGACGGGACACCGACACCTGTTGGTAAGTGTGTGTGTGTGTGTGTGTGTGTGTGTGTCCGTGCGTGCGTGCGTGCGTGCGCGTATGAATATGTGTGTGCTTGTGGGTGTGTATGTTTGTACGTGTGTGTGCGTGTATGTATGTGTGTGTGAGTATGTGTTTACGTGTGTGTGTGCGTGTATGTATGAGTATGTGTGTGTGAGTATGTGTGTACGTGTGTGTTTGTGAGTGTGTATGAGTATATGTGTGTGCTGATGTGTGTTCATGCTACAATTTGATCAACATCCAAAATGACTGTGGTCTTTCTGCCTTGCAGGTGTCAGTCAGTACGTACCCAAGAATGGGGCTGTAATTACCTTCAATTACACCAGGTACTAAACCGGTTCCACCACGCCGTAGACAAGCACCGAGGACATCCAAACACAAGACTGAATATCAGCCGAACCAATGCCGCAACTTCTTAACACCCGAAACTATTGTCTCTACTGAAACATGTACTGGGGATCAAGGGGGGGGTGGGGGTCGAGGTCGGGGTTGGGGTTGGGGTTGGGGTGGGAGGTATACGCAGGTCTGTAGGTCTGTCTTATTATTGACGTATCTCTATGACGACCACGTAATGGTGTAAGACCGCGTAATTTATTGTTTATAGTAATGTTGTGGAAATGACTATCCTCAGAACGCCCTGTCATTTAAATAATACATGTTATATTGTCGTATGTATGGGAACATGAAATAAACGCTGGATATAGTTACATACAGGGTTTGGAACTTATTTCATGAACTGTGCAACGCTTTTAACCATATTTAGATCGATGCAGGTCAATGATTGTTTGCAATAATCTTTATATGAAGCGTCATCATATCATCAATGTGATGATACTATAATGAGCGACATTGTGAACAATACATTGGGTTTGCAATGTCAGACAGATGACAGATATTATGACCGATACAATGAATACACAAAGCTCCATTTTGAGAACAAAACACTGGCTATGCCATGTCATCCTAGTGGACAATGTTATGAACAATATAATGAGAACACAAAGCTACAATTTGAGAACAAAACACTGGGCATGTCATGCCATACTTGTGGACAATGTTATGAACAATATCGTGAATACACAAAGCTACAATTTGAGAACAAAACACTGGGCATGTCATGCCATACTTGTGGACAATGTTATGAACAATATAATGAATACACAAAGCTCCAATTTGAGAACAAAACACTGGGCATGTCATTGCCAATACAATATAATGGACAATGTTATGAACAATATAATGAATACACAAATACACAAAGCTCCAATTTGAGAACAAAACACTGGGCATGTCATGCCATACTTGTGGACAATGTTATGAACAATATAATGAAAACACAAAGCTACAATTTGAGAACAAAACACTGGGCATGTCATGCCATACTTGTGGACAATGTTATGAACAATATCGTGAATACACAAAGCTCCAATTTGAGAACAAAACACTGGGCATGTCATACCATACTTGTGGACAATGTTATGAACAATATAATGAATACACAAAGCTCCAATTTGAGAACAAAACACTGGGCATGTCATGCCATACTTGTGGACAATGTTATGAACAATATAATGAATACGCAAGGACCAAGCTTTTACTTCGAGACACATCAGGGTTCGACACAACTGTGTTTAACTGTATCTGGTTGGTGCTACACAGACAGATTGCTTGAATATCTCGACGGATCTTCTTACCGACATGTTTTATATACAGAGATTCTCCTCTCCTTTACAAACTCCTAGGCCAAATGTAGAGATAGCATCAAAATCAGGTACTATGAATACACCCGGTCTTATCACCCTTACTGCATATCTTGACCATGTTGAACGCCAGTGCTTGTCACCGTTCATTATGTAATGTGATTAATACTCATGCAGTTGGTCTATGAACATGTGGACACCGTTTCAGATGTGGGGTAAACCTTGTTTGTTTTTAGTAACCTGATACATTCAGTGGCGAGTTCCATACCAACACGATTTTTGGAGGGTGGGGGTTTCAAACCAATAATTTACTGGATGACACTTTTCCTGCTCCTGAGAGATCCTAAAAGATGGAGATTTTTCTCGCATTTGGCCTAGGACTATACACCGACAACCCAACCCGTTTAAACTTACGTCCGATATACCTTATACACACAGGCCGTAAAGGTCATATACGAAACCTGAAAGGCACTAGGTCCATATCACCTTAATTATACTACTCAGAGGCAGTTTGGGACTACCGATTCTCTAATCGATCCATCATGTATAGTAATAATATAGAAACAGGTTGCCCTTTAACCTTTTTTGAGTAGTATAGTTAAGTATATTTAGTGATGTAATACGATCGCAGTTACATTTGCTCTCAATGTCTTATTCGTGAAGTGTTATTAGCAGAGACAGGCTAAGGTTCATCCTACCTAGGTGGCTACTGTGAACACGTATAGTCATACCTAATACCTACATACTTGGATGTATGCATGGTATTTGATACTGCTGTGTAAACAGGGTGTACGAAATATGAAGAAGTATCACCGTACACGTGACATGGCCGCGATACAGGTCACGTTAAAATATTCCAGTTACAAGGATATCTTCGTTACAGGAGCCCTGACACACCTCGTGGCATCACAGGTAGGGGGCGTATTTATTATATTATTTAATGCTTTACATTTTACAGTATTTTAATTTTGATCCTTGCGACGAGGACCAAAATGTTCACATGGTATGATGACCGTAGAGCATTTCTGATGAGGAATCAGATACTGTGCAGTCCAAAGAATCCCAGGTCATTTTGATGCCAGTGTAACGCTCTGCAATTATTGGGACATTTGACCATTATGTCCGATTTCCGTCATTTATTCTAGTATTATTTTGTTCCTCCTAGGTTACGATAGAGAACAATGAGTACACTATCGTGTGTATGTCTGCTGGCTTGCGTGGCATTGACTCTGACTTACCAGCCGTAAGTAACCGCTCTTCCACTTAGTCGACATGGAAGGGAACTGGCTATTTGATTGATGGCAAGTGTATATAGAGGGAGGGTTATTCTGTGCCTTAACAGGTGCTTTGACTGTTCTCTGTGATGAAAAGAATGAGGTCAATTAACTTAGAATCATGTTTTACAAAATCGGACTTATTCGTTGCAAAAGATATTTTATTTCTGATATCAATCTGATTCCTAACGAATTTGATATTTGTTTTAAATCATGTGCATTTCATAGTGTACATATGACAATGCCTAATGAATATACTATTTGTTTTCTTCACGTTCTTCAACGCACTTGTTTGAAGAAGTCAACGTTATGAGTTGTAGTTTGTACAATGTATTTTGTACATTCACACTGAATACGGATAAAGGCAATGTAAAAGTCGCTTCAAAATAGATTTAAAGCAGTTAAAATAGTCCATGACAGCAGTACACAAACATTTTAGATAAGTTACACATTTTAACACTGAATACAAAAGCGATAATTGATTCCAGTAATGAAACGTTATCTTTCAGAGGTGCTAACTATCAATGTTGCATGTGCGGCCCTAATGTCACTGTTACCATGGAGGTGCAGAACAGCCTCAAGCCACCGATGTTCCAGTCTTCTGTCAAACTTGGGATGCCTCAGAGAGAACTAATCCACTTTCTTCAAGCGGCCGTCGCCATCGACCCGCATTTCCAGTACGATTACAGCTTCAGTCCTCAGTCAGATGCTAATTCCCTGAAACAAATACACCTTTGTCCTCAGTTTGATACTTTTTCGCTTAACACTTCAGTCTTTATCAGTTGGATTCCACAGGCCTTAAACTCCCTACCTCATCAGCCCAGAGTTAGGCACCACTTTCTGTGTTCTTCTCCTACCGCACAACGCCTCTGTCACACGACACTTTCCGCTCTCAGACAACACATTCTCCTGCCGTACACCACCTTCTTCTCTCAGAAAACACCTTCTCGTACCGTACACCACTTTTTTTTCTCAGACACCACCTTCTCGTGCCCTACAACACCGTCTTCCATCAGAAAACTCCTTTTTCTATCGGAGAACACTTTCTTCTGTCACATATAGCACATTCCTATTTCAGACAACCTTTTATTTATTATTGTTTATTTTAGTTTTACGCCGCACTCAGTAATATTCCAGCTATATAGCGTCGGTCTGTAAATAACCGTGTTTGGACCAGACAATCCACTGATCAACAGCATGAGCATCGATCTGCACATTTGGAAACCGATGACATATGTCAACCAAGTCAGCGAGCCTGACCACCCGTTAGTCGCCTCTTACGACAAGAATGGGTTACTGAAGATCAATTCTAACCCTGACCTTCACGGGTCTCGGACAACAGGTTCTTCTCAGAGAACACCTTTGTCTGTAACACGATCTATGCCAGCAAGGTCAGAAAATGGCTCACAAAACCGCTTCACCAGAACGACTCAAGTAATAGGTAATAGAGGTGATGGACAGACGGTTTATAATCGACTTCACTGATTGAACCTGCATGCGTGACGTCCACGTGCTACCCTACGATTGATGCACCGTCACATTACTGCAAGACGTGGTTGGTGTCGAGAGAGGCAGCGCTGTACCAATCGTCGTTGGGCAGTGTTGGTTTTGTGATGAATCAAGGTTTACTTTGGGCTTGATTAACAAGCGCAACAGAGTGTCGCGTTGACGGAACGAGAGTTGTCATGCCGTTAACGTCAGACACAAGGAGCGTTTTGAGGGTTGGCACAGTACTGGTGTGTTGTGGAATCACATTTGCATGTTATTCCCGGACGTGCTGGGCCAGTTTACTACGGGAGGCATATGTGGTGACGTTTGCGAGGAGACATGGACGTCGTTTTGTGCTGCAGGATGACAACCGAGCTCGTACTGTTACTGAGATCAATAACCAGCTCACCATGGCCATCGAGCATGTCTTGTGTATCCTAGAACGGCGGCACGTACGTCACTGTCAGGAACCACCGACCACAATAAATGAACTTGGAGCTGCCCTGCAGGAAGAATAGGATAGAATGAACCAAGCTGGCAATGGGTGTTTGATAAGGAGTATGCTGAATCGATTCAGGGATTGTGTTGACAATAGAGGTGGATTCACGCGATAATAATGAGTTGGACATTTCATGGTAAATGACGTGACGGACTGTTGGCCACATTAGACATTCATCTGACAAAATCTACGGTCATATGATGTTCATTAAAGACCATTAAAGATAGTTTTTACACCTTTTTATTGAATATCTCCTACTATACGTATTATATATATCTGATATATAGTAATGCCAGCAGTGTTTGTGTGGCAAAACCTAGGAAAACGACAATATCTATGTCAATATAAGAGCAACACACCTATTTCTTAAACTGCTTTTGTCTAGTTCTGATCAGCATAGTTGCAATTATTCTGGGATCGATCTCACACATGTTACCCAAATGGCATGTGTGTCATAACGAAATTGTCATGTACAAAATGAAATGATTATTCTATGTTACAATCAAAATATAACATTGTTTGTGATGTTCAGTTTTACAGCTGAGTATTATGCAAAACCAAACGCAACCGGATATGACGTGTTGAGCATGAACAAGGTGGCTGGGAGTGCCACAGACAGGACATACTGGGAGATCTTGGACAACGGAGTGGCTACAGCAGGTATTTCTCTATTTCTGTGTCTATCTATCTCAACATGACTCAACTCTCACTCTCGCCTCTCTCACACATACTCTCTCTTTCAAGGAAGAGTGGAGAGCAATCCCCAGCTCTTACTCTCTCCTACTATCACTTTTTCTCTCTCTCTCTCACTCTCTAATGCCAGCAGCGTTTGTGTGGCCCTAGGAAAACGACAATATCTTGCTGTCTCTGCTCTCTCAATTACTGGGATCGATCTCTCCCATATCACTCTCTATTTCCTTTTCTCTCCCTCAGTCTCTCCGCCACTCTGTCTCACTCTCTCACTCTCTCTCCCCCACTATCTCTCAATCTCTACCTTTCTCTCACAGACAGCCACATCTTGCTGTCTCACTCTCTCACACTCCTTACTCTCCCCCTATCTATCTCTCTATCATATTTCTTTTCTCTCCCTCAGTCTCTCCTCCTCCTCTTGCTGTCCACTCTCTCTCACTCTCTCTCCTCACTCTCTCACCATATCGCTCTGTCTCTTTTCCTTTCTCTCTCAGTCTCTCCGCCCTCTTGCTGTCTCACTCTCCTCTCTCCCACTATCTCTCTCTCTATTTCCTTTCTCTCTCTCTCTCCGCCACCCCTGTCTCTCCCTCAGTCTCTCCGCCACCGCCACTCTTGCTGTCTCACTCTCTCACACTCTCCCTTACTCTCCCCCACTATCTCTCTATCTCTATTTCCTTTCTCTCCCTCAGTCTCTCCGCCACTCTTGCTGTCTCACTCTCTCACACTCTCCCTTACTCTCCCCCACTATCTCTCTATCTCTATTTCCTTTCTCTCCCTCAGTCTCTCCGCCACTCTTGCTGTCTCACTCTCTCACACGCTCCCTTACTCTCCCCACTATCTCTCTATCTCTATTTCCTTTCTCTCCCTCAGTCTCTCCGCCACTCTTGCTGTCTCACTCTCTCACACGCTCCCTTACTCTCCCCACTATCTCTATCTCTATTTCCTTTCTCTCCCTCAGTCTCTCCGCCACTCTTGCTGTCTCACTCTCTCACACGCTCCCTTACTCTCCCCACTATCTCTCTATCTCTATTTCCTTTCTCTCCCTCAGTCTCTCCGCCACTCTTGCTGTCTCACTCTCTCACACGCTCCCTTACTCTCCCCACTATCTCTCTATCTCTATTTCCTTTCTCTCCCTCAGTCTCTCCGCCACTCTTGCTGTCTCACTCTCTCTCACACTCTCCTTACTCTCCCCCACTATCTCTATATCTCTATTTCCTTTCTCTCCCTCAGTCTCTCCGCCACTCTTGCTGTCTCACTCTCTCACACTCTCCCTTACTCTCCCCCACTATCTCTCTCTCTCTATTTCCTTTCTCTCCCTCAGTCTCTCCGCCACTCTTGCTGTCTCACTCTCTCACACGCTCCCTTACTCTCCCCACTATCTCTCTATCTCTATTTCCTTTCTCTCCCTCAGTCTCCCCGCCGCTCTTGCTGTCTCACTCTCTCACACGCTCCCTTACCCTCCCCCACTATCTCTCTCTCTCTCTATTCTCTTCTGGGGCGGTGGGGTAGCCTAGTGGTTAAAGCGTTGGCTCGTCACGCCGAAGACCCGGGTTCGATTCCCCACATGGGCACAATGTGTTAAGCCCATTTCTGGTGTCCCCCGCCGTGATATTGCTGGAATATTGCTAAAAGCGGCGTAAAACTAAACTCAGGCAGTCAGTCAGTCTCTCTATTCTCTATTTCTCTATCTCAATTAATTCTACTCCCTCTCTATATCTCTCTCCCCTCTCTCTCCCACCCCTCTCTCTCTCTTTCTCACTCTCTCTCTCTGTATATATATATATATATATATATATATATATATATATATATATATCTGTAGGATTGATCCACATATAACTGACCACGGTGTTTCCCCATTGCAGGTGTCAGTGAGTACGTACCGAAAGACGGCTCTGTGATCTCCTTCAATTTTACCTCATACTAGACCTGTTGATTTCACCAAGCTGAAGACAATACCTGATTTCCATAATTCACAAAATAAAAGTCTCTCATTATCCATGTACAGCGGACTAAAGCGAGATTCTTCCAGATATTGTCATATTTCTATTCAGTTATGCACTACGGATCATGTCAAGGCCTGAGGGAGAATTCACTTTAATGCTTGTCAAGAGTAATGTTGTGGAATTATTTAAACTATGAACTAATACATTGTTAGACATATTTTAGTGTGTTGTGTTTCTGTACATGAAATAAATGTTTGTGAGAAACAAAACGAAAATTATATGCTTTTCGCTTTCTTCAAGCACGAGGCAATGCAAAGTTCGAGCCTAAAATACTTCTGATATGTGCATGATAAAAATAACTGTATGATATTGAAGAACAGTTTATATCATTCTCATAAGGGTAATATTGACATGCACATGGCGCTAGTTACCGGTCACGTGACATCTAATCATATGTACCCCTATTTAAACGGCAGAAACGTATAAGCTTCAGTACAGAGCAGTCATAAAGAGTTTGGTCCTCGAGAGCCATCCAGCGAAGCACATTGAGGAGCGATTAACAGCAGTGACTCGTACTGCACATATCAGAAGTTCTTTAGGGCTCAAAACTTTTTGATAAACCCTCGAAATGGGCTATCAGTGTCACACTAATGGCAGGCATGTGAACAACACACTTGGTCTGCAGTGTCACACTAATGGCCGACATTGTGAACAACACGCTTGGTCTGCAGTGTCACACTAGTGGCCGACATTGTGAACAACACGCTTGGTCTGCAGTGTCACACTAGTGGCCGACATTGTGAACAACACGCTTGGTCTGCAGTGTCACACTAGTGGCCGACATTGTGAACAACACACTGGGTCTGCAGTGTCACACTAATGGCCGACATTGTGAACAACACACTGGGTCTGCAGTGTCACACTAATGGCCGACATTGTGAACAACACACTGGGTCTGCAGTGTCACACTAGTGGCCGACATTGTGAACAACACGCTTGGTCTGCAGTGTCACACTAATGGCCGACATTGTGAACAACACACTTGGGTCTGCAGTGTCACACTTATGGCCGACATTGTGAACAACACGCTTGGTCTGCAGTGTCACACTAATGGCCGACATTGTGAACAACACACTGGGTCTGCAGTGTCACATTTATGGCCGACATTGTCAAGAACACGCTTCGTCTGGCTAACACTGTCACACTAATGGCCGACATTGTGAACAACACGCTTCGTCTGCAGTGTCACACTAATGGCCGACATTATGAACAACACACTCGGTGTGCGGTATCACACTAATTGTCGACATTGTGAACAACATGATTGGCCTGCAGTGTCACACTAATGGCTAACACTGTGAACAACACGTTTGGTCAGCAGTCTGCAGTGTCACACTAATGGCCGACATTGTGAACAACACGTTTGGTCTGCAGTGTCACACTAATGGCCGACATTGTGAACAACACTCTTGGTCTGCAGTGTCACACTAATGGCCGACATTGTGAACAACACGTTTGGTCTGCAGTGTCCCACTAGTGGCCGACATTGTGAACAACACGTTTGGTCTGCAGTGCAGTCACACTAATGGCCGACATTGTGAACAACACGTTTGGTCTGCAGTGTCAACTAACCGACATTGTCTGCAGTGCCACACTTGGCCGACATCAACACGCTGCAGTGTCACACTAAACTAATGGCGACATTGTGAACAACATGATTGGTCTGCAGTGTCACACTAATGGCCGACACTGTGAACAACACGTTTGGTCTGCAGTGTCACACTAATGGCCGACATTGTCTGCAGTGCCACACTAATGGCCGACATTGTGAACAACACGTTTGGTCTGCAGTGTCACACTAATGGCCGACATTGTCTGCAGTGTCACACTAATGGCCGACATTGTGAACAACACGTTTGGTCTGCAGTGTCACACTAATGGCCGACATTGGCTGACAGTGTGAACAACACGTTTGATCAGCAGTGTCACACTAATGGCCGACATTGTCTCCAGTGTCACACTAATGGCCGACACTGTGAACAACACGTTTGGTCTGCAGTGTCACACTAATGGCCGACATTGTGAACAACACGTTTGATCTGCAGTGTCACACTAATGGCCGACATTGTGAACAACACGCTTGGTCTGCAGTGTCACACTAATGGCCGACATTGTGTGTCACACAATGGCCGACATTGTGAACAACACGTTTGGTCTGCAGTGTCACACTAATGGCCGACATTGTGAACAACACGTTTGATCTGCAGTGTCCCACTAATGGCCGACATTGTCTGCAGTGTCCCACTAATGGCCGACATTGTGAACAACACGCTTGGTCTGCAGTATCACACTTATGGCCGACATTGTGAACAACACCCTCGGTCTGCAGTGTCACACTAATGGCCGACATTGTCTGCAGTGTCACACTAATGGCCGACATTGTGAACAACATGTTTGGTCTGCACTATTACACTTATGGCCGACATTGTCTACAGTATCACACTAATGGCCGACACTGTGGACACTTGACATCATTACATTTCCATGTATTCCATGTTTTGAAATATGGTTTGGAATTGTTGGATTTTATGCCAATAACCAAAGAAAAGTGATATTGACATGTGCAACTGTCTTTATGCCATAGGGATCAGGTGGTCAGGCACGCTGACTTGGTTGACACATCGGTTTCCATTTGCGCAGATCGATGCTCATGCTGTTGATAACCGGATAGTCTGGTCCAGACTCTAGTACTTACAGACCGCCGCCATATAGCTGGAATATTGCTGAGTGCGGTGTAAAACTAAACTGACTCACTCACTCACATTATGCCATATGTTTGGAGTGTGTGGTCATAGAATGAATAACGTAATGAATGCCTAATGTTTTATACAGTTCAGAAATGCTTCAGCTGTTTCAGTAGGGTTTGAAAGTGATGAAGATGCTATTTTCACATTGTCCAAATATGACTAAATGACAGAAGGAATATTTGTCATATAACATAATTCTCGAGTTCCAGACGTTTTAATGAGATTCGGCATACTGTAGTAGCATGGAAAGTGTTTGTGCATAGAGTAACCTGATATCAGTAAATATGAATGAATTTCTCATAGCGTAAAATTTAGGCAGGACGTAGAGAGGGCGTAATGGTGAACGTTGGCTACTGAAGCTTTTAATGAAGGGGCCGTGGGGTAGCCGAGACGTTAAAACGTTCGCTCGTCACACCGAAGACCCGGGTTCGATTCACCAATTGGGTACACTGTGTGAAGCTCATTTCTGGTGTCCCCAGGCGTGATTTTGCTGGAATATTGGTAAAAGCGGTATAAACTCACTCACTCACACTCAGTTTTAATGGAAAGCTACTTTGTTCTGAATCGGATGTCTATTCCCATTAAATGTCCGTTAGCATGTACAGCAAGAGCATTAGTCTGTTTCGTGTCTTATCTTACATTACTTTAAGACAGTATGTGTTTTCTGTTCCTCGGGAGCTCCTGTAACTTGCAACAAATGTCCTGAAACGATTTATAAAGATATACGATATACTCCAGAAATAGTGTGGCTACAATGGGGTAAAATGTCATCTGCATACGGGACCTGACTGGGGATTTGAAAACGTTTTGTTTTGCCCGGCATTTCCAGATCTGACGTACCAGCTGAAAACATGATATCCGATATAATTATCCCTCGTGATTTGTACCAAGTGTCCACGTGGTTTATCTCAGGTAACTGGCTTGCCACTGAATGAGCTTGTTGCCTGGGTGGGGCGGGGATCACCTCGACTTTCCTCGTGCATCCATGTCATCACTGTTTGTTAGTGAGTCATTCCTATCAGGTTGACAGTGTGCAGTCGGCCCTTGCAGTGCTTTTATGATTATGGAATAGGTTTCATCGCTTTTGTTAACTCCTGCACATAACAGATAATGTTTTTAAGATTATAGTCATATGACTTAATTTTTCACTTTTCCATGGCTTAATCATGTCAAACCAAACATCCGTTTTGTCATACAACCTTGTGGAGAGTTGTTGTCACTCTAAAAATCTTAATATGAAACAGTTGAGACAGTCTCACTTGCCTCCTTAATTTCAAGTTCAAGTGGAAGGGAATTGATTATTTGATGGTTATTGAACGATATTAGATCATCCATATACCTGAAGCTTAAGGTAAACTTCTTGGACAAATTACCTTGTTTGCTGTTGTCAAACCAAACACAAATTCTGATTCAAATGCAAAAAGAAACAGATCGGAAAGGAGGGAAGCACAGTTGGTGTCCATGGCGATGCCTACATCTGGTCGAAATGTTTTAACCCCATATTTGAAAGTCTAGCATTTCACAAATTGCTTTTTCTATAAAGTTCAATTGACATTTGGTTTCATTCTTTACAAACCATCCCATGTCTTTTGGACAAACCTCACATCATCATTCTGGTAGTTCCATGAAACAAAAAGGGCTATCTTGTTGCATCTTTCATTGAATATTTATGAAGAGAAATAGCCTAATAATCACAATCAGAAAAAGTCTTCTGCTAAACATATAATCGTGTGTTTTGAATTATTCTGTTCCATTTACGTTACATTGAAGTAAACAGGTGGTGTCCACGTTCTGATACAACCCGCGTAATTCTTTATCTAATCGGGACATTATTTAACTAAGTCTTGTAAAGTCAGTCATTTTAAGTTGTTAAGTTGTCCAAAGTGCGTCAAATTCTGACAGTCAAATCAAGACCTTTTGTACAGTTGAGGGGTTGCTGTAAATCCTGATAGGGTCCATGCAGGTAGCAAAAGTACTGTAAGTCCCCATGGTCCCTAGTGTGGTGATCTACCTGCAGATGCTACAGCCTGCAGCCCGTTTATATTTTGTATTGTTCCGTTTCGAAATTGTAGTGATAGACACTAGTGTTTATATTAAAGTTGGTTTATCTGTCCTTCGTAGACAGGTTTTTATACTTTAACAATGTTATCGTGAATTAATATCATGTTTTAGTCACAATATGGCTGAAATATTACCGATGTGACTGTAAGTTCTAGCTAACTCACTCACTACAATTAAAGGAAACTAGGTGAGATATATATTGTAAACCAAAAGTCACTGTGTTCTTTAATCTGATTGGTTGAAAAACGTGATCAAATGGTATTCGATTCCCGGAAATTCGGTGCGTATTAATACATACAAACATCGCTCACACCATTGTATTGTTACGTCGTCAGCTGTGATGACGTCATTCAAATCATATTGTGACGTAAAGTCCGAATGACGTCACAAATGAGCAGTTCCAGATGCTACCATGGGAGACAGCCGAAACGGCCGGCTGATGACATTTCACTGCTGTACCCGTACTCGATGTCAAAGAGTGCAGACACAAAAACGTGTGTGGACCTTTTGGTTTACTTTTGTGTTTACAATTTCGATAAACATCATGTGTTGGCCAATTTCCGGGTGTTATTGAGTATTTGAAGCACGGGTTCAAATGAAATATTCCCATGCTTCAAATACTCAATAACACCCGGAAATTGGCCAACACATGATGTTTATCTCCTAACTAATCAACATACCAATATCGTCTTTTTCAAGACACATAAACTAGTCATGACGTCATCTAAAATAGTGAAATGTTTTCAGCATTTTCCTTACATTTGAAGATATAGCTGGTGCTCTGTTACTAATGGTGCAAAAGTAGTCAAAATACATCTTCACAAACAGAAGAATACGGGAATCTCAAAACTAATCTACATATCCGATAGCGTCACCCATTTATTATATATTACGTGCTTTCTCACGTCATTTATTGCAAGCCATTTTTTATATTGAGTGTATAACGTTATACATAAGCACACAAACCCAGTTAGTTCAGATATAAGGCAGTACTTTGTTCGATCACGCTTCCCATAAAGATGCCAAAGGAAACAGGCGTCGCACAATGCTTTATCGGTGAACGAGGATAAAGACGAGAAACTTACTGTTTTTAACAAAATTTCGGACAACACTTCGTGTTCAAACCTCATAGGTATTTGCACATGAATTTAATCAATCGTATAGGAAAATTAATAATAATGTAACATTTAATTTCTGTGTAATTTCATAGCTGAAGGTAGTGCCGGATCCGGTAGAATGGAATTCTCGCATAACGTTCACTTTTAAAAGTAATGAAAGGGTGCACCAGAAAAAAAGCTCGGCAACTTGCCGCACTCAGCAATATTCTAGCTATATGGCGGCGGTCTGTATATAATCGAGTCTGTACCAGACAATCCACCCAGCTAACAATTTCACGTTGTCACAACGTTATGCTTTCATTTCATTGTTACAACGTTATTCTGTGGACTCCTGTTTACGTTGTCACAACGTTGTGGCCTGACGTTGTGATATGTCGTTTTTTCGTTGCTATTAACCGTTAATAGTTGAATAGTTTTCCAGTAGTGAACAGTACATAAGAAACAAAGCAAAAATTCATTTCTATGTTTATGAGTCAATTCGCATGTTGTTTTGATCGTGTGTTTTCTGACGTGTGAAGAATACTTACGTAATACTAATATTGTGTCATGGCGTTGCCAATCTACTAGATTCCCACAACGTTGCGAAAACGTCGTTGGTTAGCTCGGCAGTGATCAACAGCATGAGCATCGATCTAAGCATATGGGATACGATGACAAGTGTCAAACAAGTCACCGAGTCTGATCACCTGATCCAGTTAGTTGCCTCTTACAAGCGTGGTTTGCTGCATACCCATTTTAAACCGGATCTTCACGGGTAGGTTCAAGGCTAAAACATTCAGTATCAATGCCGGTATATTCTAATGTCACTGTGACCGTTCTGCTTGACGTGTATAAAAAGTTCGAGCGTGTATCGTTTCATGTCTAATTTTATTCGTGAGGACTGATATGCCTTTCCCGAGAATATGTCATTACCTAAACGCCATCACTGCGCATGTGCAATTCATACGAAACGCTGACCACGCAAAGTTACATTCATTTTGAATTCTGTCTGAACCTCAAGCGGACGTTAAGGTAAGCAGCTCTGTGAACCTGGAAAGTTTATAGGGATATTTTGTATACACACTTTGGTTTAAAGGATTTTTGAATATTTTCACAGAGGTTAATGTTTACAAATTACTTGCAAGATATTTAAGTAAATTTCAGTATAATCCCGTCTGTCGGAAACCTTAGTTGCCCGGAAACCTTTCTATTCCTGGACTCTCTGTTAGGGAAGACTTATGTTCCATAGGATGTAAAACTTCGAAGTGCATTAATGTTTGTGTTGTATTTGGATCATCAAAATGAGGGTTGAAGAGGAGAGACATATATACTCATTGAATCGAATAAGGGAACACATGAAAGTGTTCCTTTATTCTTTTCCAGGTTTCTTCACAAGGTATGTATTGCACTGTGAGTGAAATTCTGGAAATATATAAAGGTACACTTGTACTTTCATGTGTTCCCTTAATCATTTCCATGAGTATATATTACCGGTAGGGTCTGTGTAGTGCATATACGTTTTAATATATACTGTAAGAAGACCAAGTTGGAATGGTTTACAAAACGAACGCTGTTAGAAATTTGGTACAATGTATGCGTTTTTATAATCGCGACGTCACCACAGAGAGGCCATGAGCGATACACACAGCCAGCTAACGGACAGGCATCATGAGGGTTAAAACAGTAGGCTGCGAATCGAGACACAAGAACCATACACACGCACCATTTACCCTTCAGCTTGCTGGATTAATGTCAGCATAAGACGCTGAGGTTGATTCTGAACAATTGGGCTTTCATTAAGTAAGAGACAACTGCACGTTAATATACTGATACAAAAGTATACATTTTTATCCCAAAACATCCTCATAGTTTCAAATGTAAAGAATGTTTCTTGAACATAGTTTAATTACGTTACTGAACGTGAAATGCATGTAGTACATGCATGTATTAGAAACTAGTATAAATCGTTACATTTGTGCTAAATGATTTCAGTATCATGTTTCTAATTTCTAGAGGTTAAATAGTACTTTGTAGAAGTTTCTACCGAGATGGCAAATAATAAACCATTTCTGAAAAAGACAGATTCGATCCTCAAAGTTCGTCGCAACAGATCGTAGTTTTGATGTAATGTTAGGTTTATTCTAACGTGCCATATCCTGACATTGACAGGGAAGGAATGATTTTTAAATATTCCTCATTTTAAGTATTTTTGGACCCGTGAAGGTCCGGGTTAGAATGTGCCTTCGGTAACCCATGCTTTTTCGTACGAGGCGACTAATGGGATCGGGTGGTCAGGCACTCTGACTTGGTTGACACATGTCATCGGTTCCCAATTGCGTAGATCGATGCTCATGCTGTTGATCACTGGATTGTCTGGTCCTGACTGGATTATTTACAGACTGCCGCCATATAGCTGGAATATTGTTGTGTGTAAAACTAAACTTACTCAAGTATTTTTGTTCTGCAAGTCAAAACGTACATCCCGTGTGGTACGCTCTGTGGCATGCAGGCTGTATATCTGATCAAATGACGCTGTTTGAAATCTTTGAAGAAATAGAATGCACAATTGTGCTTAAAATTCTGTGAAATGTAGACACCTTGAGGTGATGCTGCTTCGGACTGTTGCTCAACATAAAGTTAAAAGAGACTATTAGAAAGTTCATGTCATCCTTCTTCTCTGTCTCATGCGGGACGGTGATTCCCCTAGTGATAAAAGCGTTCGCTCGTCACGCCGAAGGCCCAGGTTCGATGCCCCACGTTGGTACAATGTGTGAAGCATATTGGTGTTCTGGTGATATTACTGAAATATTGCTAAAAACTCAACACACTCACTCACTAACTCTCTGTGTTATACAGTCTCGTGCATGCATCTCGCTAGGAATTTGTATATGCACATCGAAATATCAAACAGATAAGTTGATTTAACAGGTTGGTTCATTTCTTGCACCATTTAGATAAATCAGAGGAGTGAGTGAGTTTAGTTTTACGCCGCTCTTTTAGCAATACTCCAACAAAATCACGACGGGTTAGGTGAAATGGGGTTTAAGGTCGTACTTAAGAATATTTCGCTCATATGACGACGTGCATGCGTGTGTATGTGTGACTGCTTGTATTAGCCCAGACTTATGCTGGTTTTATAGTGCTAGCTTACTGAGATACCATGCCACAGTTAAGCATGAATACCCCACTCAGACACAGTATATTGGCTCCGAGCCTACCAGTCCTTGTTGTACCCATTAATGCCGAGTGCCAGGCAGGGACCAACAAGTACTATATTTTAACGTCTTTTGGTATGACGCAGCCGGGGATCGAACCAGCGACCTTCTGCGTCTCCGGGCGGACGCTCTAACCAATACATCACGGAGGCGGTCCTATAGAATTTTGTGGATTTCATCTTCTTTTTATTCTTATTTATTTATTCATTTTTTTATTTATTTATCTCTTGTTTTTTAATTTTAGAATAAAAAGAAGATGAAATCCATAAAATTGTCTAAATTTATCAAATAGCGTCTTCTAAAATGCTAATAAAGCGTCCCTTCTGAGATTTCTATGGTCAGACTGGATACGTGACTAGTTTAGAAAGCTACCCTATTTTCAATGCATCATTGTGCGACACGAAAAGACCATGTAGTCCTTTCATTTCCTCTCAAAATGTTTGAATGTGTCACTGAGCGTTTTACTTGTTTCTTGAGTCAATAGGCTATAGAAAGACTAAAATAGTGTGCCTAAATCCCTTTATCACACTCACATTTTTAACTACAGTCCAGGTCTGAATATATATTGACAGCGCGTAATAAAAGTTTTTGTGGGTTTATTCTATCAAACAGACAGGTTTTCGAGGAATTGGTAGGCATGTCTTGTCACGCAGTTACCTCCCGCCACGTGTACAGTTTGCACTGCGGTACTTACGGCACGTGACATGAAAACAAACCAATCAGGAGACGGAGCAGAAATCTCTTTACAGGATGGTACATGCACAGATTTTGTTCAACGATGTGTTAATTTTGAAGTACGTGTTTTGTGTTATTGTCCGCAGAGACCCTTCTAACAAATATGAAGCACATGAAGTGCAAAGAAACCTGTTGGGTTGTACTATAAACCTTTTCAATAAACATGATTTCATTTTGAAGACACCCGTGAAGACCCGGGTTAAAATTGATCTTCAGTAAGCAACGCTTGAAGAAAGAAGCCACTAACGGGATCGGGTGGTCACATGGACTTGGTTGACACATGTCATAAGCTGTAATGTTGCTGAGAGCGGCATAAAACTAAACTAAATCAATCAATCATTGTTAAGATAATGACAGACGCTGAAGTCAATTCTTGACGTAGCGTTTGGTCGTTTACCAAGACATTTAAATTTGGGCAATACTTAAAATACAATAAACTACCTAAAGTTTTTATATCAGGAAATCTAAGCCTTCAACAACCACACATGATTCATACATAATCCAATCGATACGTGAATCCCTCACAGTTATTCGGGGATGTCATTGTGCTATTCTGCCGAATGGGTACGAGTTAGTGAGTTAGTGAGTGAGTGAGAGAGTGCGTGTGAGAGTGAGTGTGAGAGTGTGTGATTGAGTGAGTGAGTGAGTGAGTGAGTGAGTGAGTGAGTTTAGTTTTACGCTGCACACAACAATATTCCAACTACATGGCCGCCTGTGAATAATTGAGTCTGGACCAGACAATCCACTGATCAACATCCTGGGCATCGATCTGTGCAACTGGGATACGATGACTTGTGTCAACCAAGTCAGCGAGCCTGACCGCCCGATTCCGTTAGTCGCCTCACGACATGCATGGGTTGCTGAAGACCGGAACTTCAGGGGTACCAGCATAGAGAGGATTCAATGGGTCAAATAAGGTCTACTGACGTCATTCGAATATCAAGTTGCCCCAGTGACATCATATTGCATGGGACTTAAACCATGGTGTGGGAATTCGAATGAATGGAAATAGAACTCTAGAATGCGAAAATTATGAATCTGTATGATAATGTTTGGGCTATGATACAAATAAGTAAATACTTTAATTCAAGTTTTGCAAGACAAAATGGTATATTACCCTTATATTGTAACTTGCCCTTCAAGGTCAGTGCTGCGGTGCCTAGCTCTTGGACATACAAGGATAACATTCTCAATCAACAACGAAGCAAAACAGGGGCAATATGCCAAATAAACGGAAAGATGGGGGAGCTGTGAGGGCAAATGGACGAAAAAAGCCGAAGCTTCCAAAGACAACTGGCGCCGTACCGGGTGAGTTTATTACTCATATAATGACAGATAGTTGTCCTAAGGCCTCAGGCATATCTAACCCTCATATAAGCCCATCTCACAACTCGACGACCGTTCCTCTACCTAATCTTAATATCCTCAGGTACCTTCCTTTACCTAACTCAACTCCTTTATCTAACCCTCATGTATGCCCATCTCACAACGCGACGAGCGATCCTTTATCTAACCATCATTTAACTCCTACACGCACAGGGTTCCTTAACATGTTACCAAACACCATTTAAGACCATCTTAAATCACGCAGGGGCCTTATTTATTGGAGCCACACTTAAGCCAATCTCACTACCAGCATTGCGTTCCTTTATCGAACCCTCATTTAAGTCATTGCTGGGCGTCCTTTATCGAACCCTCATTTATCCATTAAGTCCATCTACCCATTTAAGTCCATCTCACAACCAACTGCTCTAACCCTCATTTAAGTCCATCTCACAACCCACTTACCTTTATCTAACCCTCATTTAAGTCTGACAAACCGTACAGCGTTCCTTTATCTAAGCCCATTTCACAATCCACATGAGACATCTACACAACACACTGTCTCCGATGTCAGCAAGATCTGTATTCCACTAGCTGACGATGACTTCGGGTTTATTGACCCACAACATTTAAACAAAAACAATTATACCTTGAACATCTGAAAAAGGGATATGTGTCTTTGTTTGCTGTTTAACCCGGCACTCCCTAATATTCCAGGTATATGACAGTGATATGTAAACAATCGAGTCTGGACAAGACAATCAACTTCACATACGCCTCGCCCCGTATGTCCTCAAACTGCACCTGAACGCCCCGCCCCGAATCTCTTCACACCGCACCTAGACGCCTCGCCCCGTATGTCCTAAAACTGCACCTGAACGCCCCTCCCCGAATCTCCTCACACCGCACTAGACGCCTCGTCCTGTATGTCTTAAAACTGCACCTTGACGCCCCGCCCCGAAGCTATTCACACCGCACCTAGACGCCTCGCCCCGTATGCCCTAAAACTGAACCTGAACGCCCAGCGCCTCCCAAAAATCTCTTCACACCGCACCCAGATGGCTCAACCGGCATCTCCTCACACTACCCCGTAAAGCTCACCCTGCCTCACATCGTACCTCAATGCACTGCCCCACATCTCTTCAAACAGCACCCACCCCACATCACCACAGCACAGCACCTTAACACCCCGCCTTCAGACTTCACCTAAACGTCTCGCCCTGGATCTTTTCACACCGCTCGTCAGCGTCCCGCACCACATGTTATCCAACTGCCCTGCATCAAATTTATCAACAGCACCTCCGAACCAACCCCATGACTTTCATAGCAAGAGTACCAAATTCCACAGCTGCCATGTAACAATCTGTTCTCCATCCAGCCAACATGGACAGTGACTCCGTACCTATGTATCGACGTCGCCCATTTCTGTTTGCTCTCGATGGCGTACACTCCGATGTGTGCGACAATGCAGACGACCAACCAGAGCAGCAGGATTTCACCTCCAAGCCATTTTACGACGCGCTTACTGAAGGGGGACTGGATTATGTGTATGCCAAACTAAACGGGCTTGATGCCCCAAAACACCGCTGGAAGACCACGCATCACCGGAAACACGTGATCATCGTAGGGGCGGGACAGTCTGGTCTGTCGGCGGCGTATGAGCTGAGCCAAGCTGGGCATCAGGTGAGTAGGGGTTACTATTGAGGGGGAAACAACTATTGAGATAGCAATAGTCTATTGCAACATACTGATAGCGATAGTCTGTTGAGGACAACTATTGCAATAGGTTTTTTTCCCTCCTTGTTTAATTTGTGTGAGTGAGTTTAGTTTTACGCCGCACTCAGCAATATTCCAGCTATATGGCGGCAGTCTGTAAATAATCGGGTCTGTACCAGACAATCCAGTGACCAACAGCATGAGCATCGATCTACGCAATTGGGATACGATGACATTTGTCAACCCAGTCAACGAGCCAGACCAACCGATCCCGTTGGTCGCCTCTTACGATTGTCTAATTTCCCAACGAGTCTTCTTGGAGGTTACGGAAAGGGGCGAGTGGTGACGAATGGGAGGTTACGGAAACGGGCGAGTGGTGACGAATGACACGGCATGCGACATTCGTCACCACTCGTCCCCCACTCAATACTTGTTATGTGCGAAAATACGACAAACCAATCAGAACGCGCGTAAATGAGCGCGGTGCTTTGATAAAAATAATCCCGAGTACTTAAATCGTTTATGGCATTATGTCATTGTTTCAAAAATCATGAAAAATATACATCGTCATATTGAAAGTACAACGAACGTAGCTAAAAGGATTTTGCTGCCTATTATGAAGTTTTTAATAAGAATCATGCGATTGACGGTGAGAGATTCAAATACACACACGTGCGTTTGTTGACATAACTGCTCTCATGGGTCCAACTGAGTGTATTTCTGATGATCTTGCGGGCTTGTTATGGAGATTGTACGTGCGCTTCGACCAATTTTAGGAAATGTAATTATAATCGCTTCGAGTTTCAACACAATAAGATCGTATTTGTATGTAACTAATCAACCTTAATCTTTAATATTGGGCTTATATTTCATAGCTCTGGGGATATTTTAGTCTGACTGTTTTCGGTCATTCATATTTCTTTCAGCGAATTCATTTAAAATTTCACCAGGGGTGTGACAGCAAGGTTACACGAATGATCAGTTTGAGTTTACGCCGCTTTTAGCAATATTCCAACAATATCACGGCGGGGTACCAGAAATGGGCTCAGTTTGAGAAACATTTTAAAGTCATATTTAAGTATCTGCTTTGGGATTTAATGTAGCTGAAAAAAATATTTTTTTTATTTGTATATTCAATAAAACAATTCCCATTTGTGATGATTAAAAAATATTAAGAACCCTATTAATTAACATAATTGGAAATATAAGGTGAACAGCTGGTAATAATTACATTATAATATGTCCTTAACATTTATGTATTTCTCTTTCTTTTAGTTGAAACAAAGAGGTTTAAAATAAATAAGTAAAAAACAACCAAAAACAACAACCTAGCAATACAATGTTCATGTGCTTCGGTGATTTCTAGAAACACTGGAATCAAACAGGGATAGAGTTATCGTTCTTGTTTATAGTAGTTCTGATGTTCATGCGCCAATATGAAATCCTTCCAGAGGGGCACGAGTCGCTATTCGGCTTGTCCCGGAATAACACGAGTTGGTCACGAATAGGAGGTAACAGGAGCGGATAACTCTAAATCAAAGAGAACGAATCTGGTACTTCCTGCATTTTGCGCTGCGCATTTATCAACGGAAGTCAATTACTAAACTACCGATAGTCACCTATACTATCGATGCATCTCTCACGTATCGATGGCTCTGACGTTTCGTTTCTACCATCGATTAATTGCTTGTTTTTCTTCTTTGAATTGTGCTTGTGTTTGTGTTTGATTTCTTTCAAAGCAGCGGGTGTTGATGATATATTACCTGAATTTATTAAATATTCTGAAGATATCTTAGCACCTTACTTGGAGTTGATTTTTAATGTTATTTTAGAGAGCGGTAATTTTCCATCGAATTTGACTATTTGAATTATTATCCCAATTCATAAGAGCGGGAACATTAATAATGTTGATAATTATAGAGGTATAAATCTGTTAAGTATATTGGGAAAGGTTTTTGTCTATATCATCAACAAGAGATTGACTTTTTGGGCAAATACTTTTGATAAAATAGATGAATCCCAAGCCGGCTTTAGGGCAGGATACAGTACTGTCGATAATATCTTTATACTTAATTCAATTGTTCAGAAGTGTCTAAATACAAAGGGAAAGAAAATGAATGCTTTGTTTGTCGATTTTAAGAAAGCGTTTGATTCAATACAGAGAGAAAAACTTTGGGGGGTAATGCAAAAACATGGTATTAGCCCTAAGATGAATAGATTGCTACAGAAGATATATGATAATGTGGAAGTTGGCATCAGAAATAATCATGAAATATCAGATACCTTCAATTGCAATGTTGGGCTTAAACAAGGCTGCATTCTGAGTCCATTCCTGTTCTCAATGTTCATTAATGAATTTGCTTCGATAATACAACAAAATGGTACTCATGGTATCCAGTTACATCCCTATTTGACACAATTGTTTTTATTGTTGTTTGCCGATGATATGATTCTGTTTGCGACTACTGTTGTTGGATTACAAAGGCATATACATGAGTTGGAACATTATTGCAATGTGGCAGGATTAACTGTTAATTCTGAGAAAACTAGAATAGTCGTATTCCAAAATGGGGGCAAACTATCTAAAACGGAAAATTGGCATTACAAAGGAGAGCCGCTCCAAGTCTCACAATCATATAAATACCTTGGAGTCTACTTCACTAATCGTCTTGGCTTTTTAGCACATGCTAAATATTGTCCCACACTAGCCAAAAAGGTACTTATTGGAGTTCTCAAAAGTATTCACAAACTCGTAGATATTGATTATCATTCTTTTTTCAAAATATTTGATACAAAAATCCTTCCTATTCTATTGTATGGTTCAGAGGTATGGGGCTTCAGTAATTTTGACGTAATTGAGAAAAAACTTTTATATACTTGCAAGAATTTTTTAGGAGTATAAGTAAGTACACCTAATGCCATTGTATATGGAGATTGTGGAAGATTTCCCATACACATTTTTGCTAAAGCTAGAATAATAAAATATTGGATACGTCTGTTATATATGCCATCTGATAGATACCCTAGACAGTGTTATGATAAGATGTTAATGTACGATAACAACGGGAAGACTAACTGGGTGACTAACATTCGAGAATTGTTAAATACAATAGGTTTTGGGGAGGTATGGCAAAGGCAAAATGTTGACTTTCATACAAATTTTGTGAATAATGTTACTCAAAGGCTCAAAGATATATATACACAAGAATGGGTAGGAGCACTGTCATTGTCAAGTAAATGTTTCTATTATAGAATGCTTAAATCCCATA